AATTTATTCAGTTTGTAATTAGCTTTTTAAACTGATATAAAATAAATTTATTTATATTTCTTTTCTTAAAAACACAGATTTATTTTTCTTTCTAGTATTCGCACTAAAGAAAGACTGCAAAACTAGTTTGTTAGCATATTTTAATTAATGGTAATAATATCCCGAGATCCCGGGATTACCAATTTAAAATCCCGTAATCCCGGGAATCACAAAATGGTCCGGGATTGGATGCCTTAATGTACATATGTTTGAATGGTTGTATATATATTCGTATGTATGTACATATGTTTGTGTACATGTATATATGCACATATGTATGTAGTACAAACGAAAACAAATCTAATAAACTGCTCGTTGATATAAATGCGAACTGAACTGTTTGCCAAAATTATGTGTTTGTTGAACATTTGTTCATGTTTGTCATTGGGCGTGTAATTTTCTAGAGTAGTTTTGTGCTCTTGCTATCTCCTTGTATTAACTCGTCCTTCGTTGGTATACTCTGATGAACATATGTATGTGAGGATGATAGCAGGGCCAACTTATATAAGGTAGTGTTACAGGAGCAGTTGGAATTTTCGCTCGATGTTTCTTAAAGAAAGCCATAAACGTAGTACCGTTGTTTCAACTTGGTGTTGTGTTGCTCTAGATTGCACCGTTTGTGGGCCTGTTAAATGAATTTGTCTTGGTTGTATGAAAGATCAAAAAATTTGGATTTTCTGGCAAGTTGTACAACTTATCGCTACATTAATGGCCATGTTGTACAAATTCATTTAATTTGCGTTTATTTTGTACACTCAGCCGAAATAGGTACGTGCTTTCGTTGAATTTTATAAATGTAAGCCGAAACTATGAAATTGTAAAAATGAGATTTTACAATGAGACTGCTCGCAAAATCGCAATGTTTGTGGGCAAAACGTCCAACTTGATTGCGGATTGATTTGAACCAACGTTTTCGGCTTGCATTATGTCAAAAGGATGTGTTTGTTGTATTCATTCTGTCATTTACTACCATTATGCGTAGGCCAATTCATTAAATCATTTCATGCGTTTGAGTAGAAACTGAATGAATGAACACTATTTCATGATTTCAATTAA